ACTTCCTCCCACCCCGCCCTCCGGCCTGAGCACCGCCTGGCCGGCGCCGACCCCGTCTCCCCGCTGGAGGGGCCCCCAGATCCCGTGGACAAGCAAAGCGGGGGGTCCCAGTAAACCCGACGTTGGCGCTTGCGAACCGTTTTCACACCTGCGTCTCGTAAAGGCACCGTGGGAGGCGTTACATTCCTGAGCTGCAGAGACGTTAGTTGCCTTTTACAAGGTGGCACGGCCAGTTCGGGGTGGACTTGCCAGAACTGGAACTCAGTTCCTCCGAGTCATGCTGGTCGTTTAAGTGACTTTTACAGATCTGTCCGCCGAACCGGTTTTTAGCAATCACTGCTCCGCGTTGGTTTTTAATAAAAACTGTTTTGTTCCCTCGCAACAGCCTAGAAAACTCACAAGGCAGGTATTGTTTGTTTTTAGCATTCACTTGGCAGGAGGACCTTGAGGAACAGTAGGCGACGCGCGCCCTCTGCCCGCTTAGTCAGCGGCTCGGCCGGGACGCGCGGTCCGGTTCCCGTCTCCGCCTGACAGGGTGGGGACTGGGGCGGCCGGCACCAGGGCTGGGAAGCCGCTCCTCCCGCGTCTCTCGGGCCTCGTTGCCGTTCCTGCCCAGTGTCTTCCATTAACGTAGAGAACTAAGGACGGCATCTGTGAGGTTTTGGTGCGTGTGTTGTTCAGTGGCTTTTGAAATCCCTTAAGGGGCCGTGCAAGCGCAGGGAAGGCTGGTGGTCCTGTCTTGGTAGAAGTTCCTGGTAACCACCCACCCTTTTGTTCAATATCAGAACTTATTAAGTGTCCCCAATAAGTAGAGCACTTAGCTAAACGCTGAGGGGGGGAAAAAGGCCCAGAGTCATAAAGACTCCTTTTTGCTCTGTTTTCTACATGGTCGGTTTCTGCGTGTGGTGGTTCCCTGAATGAAATAGAAAATAAATATCGCCATGACATGATCATCAAAGGGAAATAACACTGTCATTGTCTAGTAGCAGTTCTGGCTTAACTTTGATGCGCATACTGCTGCTAATTCTGTCTAAGAGTAAGTCTGATTTTGCTAGGCACTTGCGGTTTAGCTGTTTGTATAACACTTTACTACTATAGCCCATTCCTTGAGAAGCGGCAGTTGAAATCTTGATATATTGCTCTTTAAAAGTTACCAACCTCTCGCCAAACTTAAATTGGTTTCCCATTCTTATGAAAGTTGTGAATTTCACACTAATAATTATCCTGTTTTGTAATCTCTGTCCCCCCCCCCAAGGCCCACACACTGCACTAAAAATTCCTCTTTGTTCCCTAAAACCATTCCGCTCCCATCTTTCTGTCATCTTTGTGTTCAGCTCCTAAATGTGCTGCTGTTCCAGTGATGTCGCTCGTCTTTAAAGAGCCAACTCAGACAGTGAACAAACTGAACAAAAAGTGAGCAACCTGTGAAGCCTCCCCAGACCACTGAGCCACTTCATCAGAGTCTTCATGGCGCCCTGCGCTTCTGTTACAGCACTCGCCCCGCTGTGCTCTTAACTTGCTTGTCTGGGCTATAGCCTAGCCAGATGCTCAGGATCTTGAATATTCTTTGTCTCACCTTGTGCCCAGTACAGTACTTGACACATTTTAAGTCCTCAGTGAATGTTTGGGGAGTTACTAAATGTAACCCTTTGAAATTGTACTAGAGACATTTTCTGTCAACTGATATTCATGCTGTGGGAAGATGTAAAAATCATCTTTCTAATGAAAGAAATTTACTTGTCTGGATGATTAAGTGTTAAATCTTTGGTTCTTCTTTATCAGGCAGTTCCTTCATAATATTTGATTTCTGATAAAAATGTTCTGACCTTTGGTGTTAGTTACATAATTGTATTTTTTATTGCCTTTGTTTGCTCCTTTGTCAAACTTGTTTATCCTCTTAACATTATATAGATTATAGAGCTGAGCACACAGCTACATAGCTACATGTTAAATTTTTTTTACTCACCATTTACCTAAGTATAGATTTGTAAGTTAGCATAGGACACAATAAAGTGTGATGTGCTGTTGTCTTAAGCACAGAAAAAGTACACTTAAGTCAGAAGTCTGCATTTTTATGTTTGGAATTTGAAATTTTGGTTCGTCTGTTTTTTCAAAACCCATTGATATTTTTTTCCTTTTTATTGAATTTATTGGAGTGACACTGTTTAACAAAATTATACAGGTTTCAGGTGCACAGTTCTACCCACCATCTGGACACCACCCCGAGTCACATCTCTGTCCATCACCATTTATCCCTGCTTTACCCTGTTCTATCTCCCTCCACTCCACCTCCCCCCGACAGTCACCACACTAAAAACCATTGGTATTTTATAAGCACAAGAATACGGAGACCTTTTG